ATTGTAAACAATTTTGAAGTAATATAAAACAAGGTTTAAATAATTTACTGCTGTCATTGAAATTATAAAAGAAGTTGAAATTTTATCAGAGACAATCCAGCAAAATACTTACTGCTGTCTTCCAAATAAGTTTTCAATGGCAAACATAATCTGAGATATCAGAACAGCTAAACGAGGCTGTGATGTCATGGTTTTAACAAGGTCATTGATACAGTGTACAGTGCAAAAAAAGGGTAAAGAAGTTAACAGACCTCAGGAGAAACATGACAATTCATAAGACTAGGGATCTTCAACTCCGACACGAGCTCTTTGTTGGCAAGTTTAGTCTGTTGCACAGAGTGGGTCATAGAGGCCCAGGAGGAAAGCTGCACTTCCTGGCTTCCCCCACAAGAGGACACACTTTCTGCAACACAAAAGGTAAAGCAAACTAGAACAGTTCTGAGAAAAATCTCAAGGGTGTTAATGGAGCTCCAGCCTAAATGCAAACATACATAAACCATCTTCTTTAGAGCCCAATATTAATTTAGCACTTACTTTAAGAATCTAAGACAACTATATGCCTATGTTTTGAAGATGAGAGGACTAAGATCAAAAGAAAAGTTAAAAGGCACCATGAAAGTCTCTGCATCATCCATCTGAACTACTGAAATTGGCTCTCATTTTTGCAGTTTCATGAACAAAATTGCTTCATTCAGTTTGCAGCTTTGGGTCTTCCACCCCTTCTTGTCACAAACCGCCAGGAGAACTGCCCTGAGCCAATGAAAGTTCTGTTACTTCCGGGCAGGGAGCAGATATTGTGGATTCAACCATACATAATTAACATAGCACCATGCTCCTCTAACTAAATTGTTCCAGATTATCTTAACTTCTTTTAAAATAGTGGTAAAGGAAATTTTGTAAATGATTAACTGAAGTTAGATGCAGTTTTGTATTTTGTACAACCCCTGGCAAAAATTATGGAATCACCGGTATTAGAAGAAGTTTATTCAGTAGTTTCATTTTGTAGAAAAAAAGCAGATCACAGACATGACACAAAACTAAAGTAATTTCAAATGGCAATTTTCTGGCTAAGAAACACTAAAAGAAATCAAGAAAAAAAATTGGTAGTCAGCAGCGGTTAATTTTTTAGACCAAGCAGAAGGAAAATAAATTTTGGAATCACACAATTCTGAGGAAAATATTATGGAATCACCCTGAAATTTTTCATTCCCAAAACTAACACCTGCATCAAATAAGATCTGCTCAATAGTCTTCATCTAAAAAGGAGTGATCACACCTTGGAGAGCTGTTGCACCAAGTGGACTAACATGAATCATGGCTCCAACACGAGAGATGTCAATTGAAAGAAAGGAGAGGATTATCAAACTCTTAAAACAGGGAAAGTAAATAATCACGCAATGTTGCAAAAGATGTTAGTTGTTCACAGTCAGCTGTGTCTAAAATCTGGACCAAATACTAACAACATGGGAAGGATGTTAAAGGCAAACATACAGGTGCTGGTCATAAAATTAGAATATCATGAAAAAGTAGATTTATTTCAGTAATTCCATTTAAAAAGTGAAACTTGTATATTATATTCATACATTACATACA